AACAAACACTGACTAATTTACTGCGTAACCTGCACTCAGTAGCACTCAGCGTTTGGTTCTTACCTTGGCGAGCAGAGCGGTGGGAGCAAGTTGGGCTGCAGTCTGCAGGCAGCAATCTGTGGCAGGATTCCCATAGAGAGCCACGAGAATTACATGCACCAGAGTCGCGCCTACTGAATTTAATTGAATTGCATTATCAACAGCAGAATTTGACCCACATACAGAGGACTGCATACTGTCCAAAAATAGCTACCAGCCAGAGCTGAGCTTATCTTTCCCACATTTTGGCAAGCAAATGTAATTTTCCAAGCTGGCCTTTTTCATTTTAGCCATACTAGTTCATTTTAAGATTTTCTTTTTAAATCAGCAACACAATTTGTCAGTGAAAAAAAGAAAAAAAAAAGAAGATGAGTGGGAGCAGGAAAGAACACAAACAAAACCTAACAAGGAAAAGAAATTAGATTACAGGAAGCATAGATGTTTATAAAAAATTTGTCTCGCTATATTTATCTATATTTATAATTCATGTATTAATGTTGTTTATATTTACTTTGGTATTTCTGATATTCCTAACCTGTCACTCATTCAAAAAACACAATTATTTTTAAGATTTAATCAATTCCTAATTGTTCTTACATCCAAAAATGTAATGAATATAGTTTATCTGAATAACAGATGACGAAAGATGCTTCTAGCAAATAGGAATTTTGAAGGCCACACAGAGACAACTGAAAAACTGGAAGCCAACCTTTTCAGACAGAGCAAAAATCCATTTTTCCTCCACAAAAACCTCACAGAGCAAACCACAGGTGCAGTGCACAAAAAAGAGAGCGCACCAGCTCTTCCCGACATGCTAAGCTCAATCACACAAGGTAGTTTTTATCACAAGGTTCACTCTCAACAATTCACCGAAACACCTCGGCATGTGTTAGACTGCGTTTCTATAGAAGTCAGTGGGGATGTTTTCCAGCTTACATTTCCAGTCTGTGTTGCATGTCGATCCTCACGCCACATGCAGACCTTCCAACAAAATCACAGTAGACCTGTCCTGCAAGCCCAGGCTTCTGGGATGAACAGAGCCAACCAGTCACTCCTCACAAGGTGAGATACCATCAGCCTCTCTAAAGGCTCCCATTCTGCAGGGAGCACGCCTGTACTGAAACCAAACAGGAAAAATCTAATTCTTAGGGCTGCCAAAAATGCTGCCCAAACTGCGCTCCAAACGTGATCAAAACAGAGATATTCCTGAATTTCAAGGCAGCCCGTAACAGAAGACTTGAGAGACACCAACTGCGCCCCTTATCCCCAAGGAGCATCAAGTGGAGGGCCAAGGGGTATTCTCTGAGAAACAGAAAGTGAGAACACAATGAGAACAGCCACATGCATCCAGCCCCGCGATTCCACGCGCAAATGGTAAACGCCCCGCAGAAAATCAGTCATCCTCAGAGTACCCTTACGATGCCAGTCACAGTAATTTCAAGGATAAATATTTACTAATGTGAAGGCCGGATAACTGTAAGGCCACATTTACTCTTCCGTTTCTGCATTATACTACTGGGCTTACTGGGATTAATGAATGAAAAACTCTCCTGACAACGAGCAGCTCAGCTTTGTAAGCCTGACTTCATGGTCCATAACTAAAAGCAACACAAATGCTGTTTAAAAAGCAACAGAAGAAGAACAGCAATTGCAGATGGATTCATAACCAAAACATATTTTTAGCAGTCCCACTAATTTCAGTTAGAACTTCAGGAATGGTTTGTTGCCATCAGGAACGCAGAGCCCCGCAGCACAATGGCAGACACAGATAAAAGACCTTCCAGAACCAGCTTCACCAGCACTGCTCCCTGCTAACTCCCCGTCCCTGGCTCAGCAGCAGAGGCAGAGCTCAAGGATACGGATCAATTGTTTAAGCTTAACGTATGTGAACATAAATACTAGCCTCTACACTGGCTTAGGAACAGAAAGCAACACTGCAGTTGCTTATATTTAATATTGCAAGAACATGCAAGGCTTAAATACAACATTCTTGTTCGAGGAAAAACTCCTGACCACGGCAAAAGGAATTTTTCCTGAGAGGACACTACGTTATTTGCCACTTCCTAGAATAGCAGAAGTATGTAAATCACCACTGATATTTTTAAAGTATATTTATTTATAGATTTGTATCATGTACCCGTCACTCAGCATCTGGGTACACACACATATATTAAAATAATATACATCATTTGTCTACAAATCATAATTTAAGTACATTCTGACTCTTGGGATACAGATCTTTACAAATCCCCTACCATTCCCCAAGCAACGGCCTGAGTAAATAGATAATGGAAATGACTGAAGAAGAAAGGAAGCGGCAGAGGAGTGCCACACAATGAGAGCACAGTGGAACGCAGCACGCAGCCAATGTGAGCCAAAAGCAGAGTTGATCAAATGCTGGAAACTCGCAGCATCGTGAAGACCCTTTCATTATCCTTAAAATATCTCCCCTGTACAGATTAGCTCGATATGAATAATACTTACAGTATCTCCTGTGTACCCTTTTTCCTAGTAAACGGCCTTACACATGGGATTTGCAAAATCTTCAGTCTTGCACATTTAAAAACAGAGCTCCCTTGTCCGCACCAGGAGGGCAGGCACTGCTCCCCCCGCTAACTCCATCGAGGCCACCGAAAAGCGGGCGAGCAGAGCGGGGCTGCGCAGGGCTTAACGTCATCCGACTGCACTTTCTGCTGGGAGACAGCACCAAGGTGAAGGTCACCGAGACCAGCAGCAGCCCAGGAAGAAAAGATCAGAAGAGAGTAATTCTAAAAACACTCTGGAAAATACGTTGCACATAGGCACAGTTACATACATGTCCCGGCCGCGTTTCTGTGGTTAGAGAATTAGCACACGCATGTAAAACCCATCCAAGCAGCACATGCTTTCAGAGGGCCTTCTCCTGCAGACCGCTATTCACCCGAGTAATGCTACTGAAGTCAATGGAAATGCTCTTGTAAACAAGGACTTACAAGAACCCAACGCGACAATGATTTCAAAAGGAGTTTTGACTGTGCAATTGTTGCTGGATTAGGGTCTTCAGAAACACCGAGCTTGCTCTGAAGAGCACAGAATTCAAATCTGCAAAGTGCTGGGGCCTCCAGATTGGATCCCGCTTGGCTTTAAGCATGGCAACGGCTCCTGTGCTTACTCCTTACGGTGGGCAAAATTCCTAGGAAAGGAAGCAGGAGCTTTGGGAAAAAGCAGGCTCTCCTCAGCCCCTTTTATAAACCAGTGACCTACACTGAACCAGGGAAAGGGAAAGGGAAAGGGAAAGGGAAAGGGAAAGGGAAAGGGAAAGGGAAAGGGAAAGGGAAAGGGAAAGGGAAAGGGAAAGGGAAAGGGAAAGGGAAAGGGAAAGGGAAAGGGAAAGGGAAAGGGAAAGGGAAAGGGAAAGGGAAAGGGAAAGGGAAAGGGAAAGGGAAAGGGAAAGGGAAAGGGAAAGGGAAAGGGAAAGGGAAAGGGAGTTATTTGGCAGACATGATTTCTACAAAATAAGCCTATTCAGTGAAATTCTCATTTAAAATAATTGATTCAACAATAAAACAGCAGCATAGAGCAGAAGCGCAAATAGCAGTATTTATAAATAGCATTTGCCCAGATAAGTAAAAGTTTGTAATAAACAGATCGCCCATTACTTTGCTCGTATAAATGCAAAACAGAGGAAAAAAAATAGCAACAGTATAAAAGACAAATAAATGAGTTAGACACAGAGCCCACGGGTTTAAGAAGTCTCCCCTGTATTTAATAAAGCATGATTTTTTTTTTTTAGAAACACTAACAGATCCCTTGCAGATAGTTTTTATCTTTATATTATTATATAAGACATTTTGTGTTTAAAGTGAACTATTGCTTTGTCCAGATGGCCCCTCTGCTGGGCACAGAAACCAAGTTGTGAACAAAAATTAAAAAATCACCATTGAAAAATACAAACTGTACAACTTTAAAGCATTTTGATTTTTTCCCCCTCAGTCCAAAGAGATAAATAATTGAATTGCTCAGAATGTAGAAGCCTGCATTTTAGAGTAAATTTCCGTGTCTACATAAAATAAAAAAAAGAAGCCAGACAGAATCACAACTAGTCAAGAGACGAAGGAAAATATGCAATTATGGTTCATCCCATTCTATTATCTCAGCAGGTGGAAAACATTTAAACAACTAGTGACTTTTCAGAACTGAGCCCAACCCTCTGCTTCTAACACAACTCACAGTCCTCTCAGAATCAGTGAGACTTTAGAGGAGCTGAATATTTGGGACTCTGCAATAATTTGTAATAAAAACATTAAATCTGTCATTTCACAATGTTTCAGATTTTTTTTTTCCTTTTTTCTCCCAGAAAAGTAGCACATACCTAGTGCAAAGCAAAATATTTTCCCCCCACTGCCCTGTAGAGAACTTTACACATAACAAACACTATTAAACAATTGACTCAGCTCAGAAAAAAAAAAAAAAAAAAAGGTTAAAATTACTTTCAAGACATTGAGGTTATGCTACTTTCCATATCATCTAATTAGGAAAAAAAAAAAAACAAAAAACAAAACAAAAAAAACCACTACCTTTGGAGAATTAATTTAACCAAAAATAGGTCAGGTAAAAAACACATATTTGCAAGTTTTTGACATTCAGAAAACATTTTTGTTTATGCATAAAAATGCACATTATGAGTACATTTTCTTAGCATAAACCAAGAATAAGCTGATGTATTTAACAATTTGATTAGTTTCCAATTTTACAGTTTAACGTATAGTGTTTTATTTGTACTTTACCAGCTGAGCCTGCAGATGTAAGGAAAGGCTGTAACTACCGATACCTGCGATCTGCATTGGCAGCAGGGTTTAGACTCCTACCAAAACAAAACAGCTGGACAGGATTATCAGTATAGCAGATCACTCTCTTTTCAGGGCTATTTTACTCAAAAAGAATCCACTTAAAAATGCTCAAAACATCAAATGAAACACGAGTTATCTAAACATCAGATTTTCTAATTTTATTAAAAACGCACAAATTTTATCCAACATGTTTTCTTTCATACAGTGAATGGTCTAATATGCACTGGAGGTCACACAAGCTTAGGTTTATTAGAACAATAAAAGACATATGAGAAATTTAATATATAAAGAAAAAAGTAGCAGCTGTTGACTGCATATTTGACCATAAAATTTAAATATTTTGGACTTTTATTTTAAAGACACAAAAATAAAACCTGTGTGGGTCTATATAAGTCATATTAACAATTCCATGAATGTTCAACAGGACTAAAAATTAGCAAAGATGTTTGTTTGTTTTTTTTAACCTTGTAACACTTTTTAAACACCTTCTCGGGTTGCTGGTGCAAAGCACCTTACAGTATTTGTGCTATATATTTACTTTATTTGGCAACTGTCTGGGTTTCGTGGGTTTTTTCTTTGCCTTCTGTAAACAACACCTTTTACAAACTAGCACAGTGAACCACAAGCCCTGCAATCTGTTATAACATCTACAGAAAAGAAAATGAACTATTTTGGTTGGTTGCTCAAAATATTTTGCTTTTGAACAAGAGGTTCTAAAACAGGATTTATTAGTAAAACATTGAACTCCTGAATTTAACATTAGACGTAAACAGTTGACTGTTTTTTAGTTCAATAGAGTCTTTTTGTTTAGCTTTTCTCTCTCTGTGAAGGTAGAATACTTTTTGTTTGTTTGTTTTTCAAGTCATTTTCGTTAGAGGTCTGGTTGGTGACCTTTGCTATGATGAGGAGGTTTTGTATGTGTAGCTTTGTGAAGGTAGAAGAGTTGGTGCTGAGGGCTTAACATTTAGCATTTGTTATTTTGGAAAACAAAAACAAAACAAAAAGAAAAGGAAAAAAGAAAGTTGTCCCACCTGATATTCAGCAGGCTGAAATGGCTGAAGCTAAAAAGAGTTTCTTGCTGTCGAACTTTCTGAGAGACAAAAATTAACAAACAAATTCATAATGCCAGAACCATCCTTAACCGGGAACGCTAGAGTTCTTGAAGCTTTTTTTTTTTTCCCCTTTTCTTTGACCTTTCCTTCATTCAATTAGTGTTTTTTTTAAACGAGAAGTTTCTAAGGATTGTGGCTCTTAGGATGACATCCAACAGGGTAATCAAACTTACGCCATCCTACGGGTATGGCAGCACTTTACTGTACAGCTTCACCAGTTTCTTTGTCAATGGTACAAAAAAGTCCCCTCGTCTGTTTGTCTGTTACAACCGTAAAGAGGAAGATTGTCCTGGTCTAGAGCAAAGCTTGCCTTGGAGCCGTTTGCATTCAGTTCGTTCCCAAGGTCACATTGTCTTAGGGCGGGAGAGGCGGTATATTTATTCATTTCTGTACACCGAAACAATAAGCAGACTAGATGACCATCACTTACTTAGACCCAGTCCGTTTTAAAGCTACCACACGGCCGCCTCGTTCATTTCGGGTGGATGTGACAAGTGATTGCCGTAGTTAGCACCACCGTTGACGGATAGCGATGAAAACGGAGGACTGGGGCCAAAAACTTCCGCGGACATGGAGTGCAAGGACCCGGGCAGGTTGGGTTCGGGGCTGGGCGAGTCTCCGGGCGGGTGGGCCATGATGTCGGGGAAGCGCTGCGCCTCGCTGGACGGGTGGTGGCCGGGCAGGGGGTGCTCCAGGGCGCCCAGCGGCGTGCCCGGCGGCCCCGAGGAGGGCACGAACGGCAGCTCCACCGGCGTCTGAGCTTGCGAGGAGGGAGGTCCTTGCGGGAAGAAATCGTAATTGCTTCCAGGGCCGTAGTACTCGCTCTGGTAATCTAGCGGGCAAGCGGACACGGAGGGAAGGTGACGCCCGGGCGCGCAGCGCTTCCCCCACCTCGTTCGGGGCCGTGCCCGGGGACCTCCCCCCCCCCGGTCCTGCGGAGCCCCCGGGCTTGGGGGGGGTCCGGCCCCGGGGAGGGGGGCTCGAAGGGCGGCGCTACCCACCTCCGTAGAAGGAGAAGGGCCCGTTGGGGATGAGCTCCCCGGGCTCCAGCCGGTCCACCAGCGGCCGCATCCTGCGCGGGCTGCGGAAGAAGGCGTGCCGGCGGGCACCCAGCGCGCTCAGCTGCTTCATGCGCCTCTCCTTGGAGCGCCGGTTCTGGAACCACACCTGCCCGGGCGGCGGACACGGGCCGGTCACCGGCTGCCCCCGGGCCCGCCGAGCCCCGACGGGGCGGGACGCGATCGCTGCCCGCCCGCCTCCGCCTCCCCCTCGCCCTGCGGCCACCCGCAGCCCCCCCCCCGGTACCTGGATGACCCGCATGTTGAGGCCGGTCTCCTGCGCCAGCTGCTCCCTGATGTGCCGCGTGGGTTTTGGGGTGGCCGCGAAGGCGGCTTTCAGAGTCTCTAGCTGTTTGGCTTTGATGGTGGTGCGGGGGCCCCGCCGCTTGGCCCCCAGGTTCTGGTCGTCGTTTTCGTTGCTGCCCGTCTCCTTGTCGGAGACGTTGGCGCTCTCCGAGTCCTTGGCGTCGTCCTGGGAAGGGTCTTGGGAGTCCGGGGACAGGCTGGGGTCACTGCCGGTGGTGGCTGCGCGACAGCAAACGGGGGTCACGCTCGGCCCCGGCCGGAGCTCCCCCCATCCGGCGGCGGAGAGGGAGAGGAGGAAAAGGAGAAGGAAAAGGAGGGGAGGAGAAAGAAAGCAGAGCCCCGGCTCCCGGCCCCGCCGCCCGCGCTCCCTCACCTGAATGCAGGCTGTTTTCTTTGGCAGTATTGCTGTTATTTAGGTAATCTTCTTTGCAGACAAACTTGTTTTCGTCTATGATATAAAGCTCCTCGCCGGTGGAGAGCTGCTTGTTACACATCATACACGTAAAACAGTTCAAGTGGAACACTTTGCTCCGCGCCCTGCGGACCAGGTCGCTGGGGGAGATGCCCTGGGCACAGCCCGCGCACTTGGTCCCGAAACACCTGCGGGGAGAGCGGCGGCGGTGGGCGAGGGGGCACCAAAACAAAAACAAAACAAAAACAAAACAAAAACAAAACAAAACAAAACAAAACAAAACAAAACAAAACAAAAACACAAACGCATCCTTCTCCACCGTTCTCCCTTCCTAACGAATACCTCCCGGAATTATATCTCAAATAAAAATAATAATTATAGTTTAAAAAAAAAAAAATCACTAAACACAAACAAAAAAAAAAAGACAAACGGATCCAAAACAAAAGAGCTGATGCGGCCGGAGCACAAGCTGCTGGAGGAGTCGTTGGGCGCTGGGGCCGCGCTGCCCGCGTCCCGCACCCCAAGAACACGGCGCCGAAACCCGGGCCCGGCCCGGCCGGGGCGCGGGGATCGCGGGCGCTGCTCGAGGGCGCGCCCGGGGCCGATTTCGGCGTTCCGGCGGCCGGGCCCGGCCGTTCCCGGCAGCCGGCCTCGGCCCCAACCCCGTCGGCCCCGAGCCCTGCGCGGAGCCGCCGCAGCCGGGACCCGCGGCCGGGCGAGAGGGCCCCGAGCCGGGGCTCCGGGAGCCGCGCTCCGGCCCCGGGCAGCCGCGCTCACGGCCGCGGCCCCGTCGCGGAGCCCCGGGAACGCGCGGCCGGGGTCGCCCCGCTCCGCGCTGCGGGGCCCGGCTCGGAACGGCCGAAGCAGCCGCGGGCATCCCGAGGCGCGGCCGGGCCTCGCCCCGCGGCCCCCGACGGGCCCGAGCCCCCCGAGCGGCACCGGCGGGAGGAAGATGATGGAAGATGGGCTGGGAAGGAGCTGCGGCCCCGGGCCGGGAGCCGGTACTTACCGAAAGAAGTCGTTTTTGCAGTAAAGCTTGCCTTCTCGCGAAAAGCATTTCTCTGTCAAATTGCATTTACATTCACAGCACTGAACACACTTCACATGCCAAGCCCTGTCCAGTACATTCAACAAAAACCGGTCCAAGATTGGCCTTTTGCAGCCCGCACAGTGAACCATTGTCTTTGGTTATTTCTGAGAGTGGGGGGTATTGGTTTCCCAGGTGTCAGGCAAAAAATTCAAAATAAAAAAAAAATGTAAAAGGCGACAACACCGGCGTAGGTTTGCTTTGTGTGTGTGCGTGCGTTTGTTTTAAAAGCCTTGGAGAAGTGGAGGAGAAAAAATTGAAAGGGAGGAAGAAAAAAAAAAAAAATCTTCTTTCGGGTGTCCTAGGAGGGAGACACTGGAGAAACCACCCACTGCCCGAGGAGAGAGACCAGCGCTTCGACGCAACCGCAGAATCCCGGCCGCTACCAACAGCGGCAGAGCGACAATAAGTGACAGCAGAACAACAACGGCTAGAGAGGTCGGCGCTCACAAAAAAAAAAATAATTAAAAAAGAATAATTTAAAAAAAAAAAAAAAACCGCCGAAAAGGGAGTGATGAGTTTTTCTCAGGTCTGAGGTAGAGCAGTCAGGAGTCAAAGTGCATCTGCTTTTCCCAACGAGAAATCAAAGGAGGCGAAAAAAAAAAAATAAAAAGGCAAAAAAAAAAAAAAAAAAAAAAGGCAAAACCGAAAAACAAAAGCAGGACATCGGGACCCGACAGCGGTCAGACGGACGCCGGCTGCCGCCGCGGCGACATGGCCCGGGGAGGGGCGGCGGGGAGGGGGGGGGGTGGGTGGGAGGCCCGGGCTGCTGCCGTGGGTGCGCTGCGAGCGCGGCTCCTCGCCCTCCGCCGCGCTCCCTCGACGTGGCGGCGGCGGCACCGGCACCGTGCGCGGCGGCTGCTCGGCTCCTACCTGCCCCCGCGCTACCCGCGGCGTCCCCGCCGAGCCGGCATCTCCCGGCGCCGCCGGCTGAGGGGCGCCTCCCGGCGGGGCGGGGCGGGCCGGAGGGGGGGGGGCGGGCGGCAGCGGCGGCGAGGCCGGGGCCGGGAGCGGCGGGGCGCGGAGGGGAGGGCGCTGCCCGCTGCCCGCTGCCCGCTGCCCGCGCCGTCCGGCCGCGCAGGGCGCTCTGCATGTTCCCGGCAGCCCCCGGCCGCGCCTTATGCACCGCGCGCAGACGTCACCGCGCGCCGCGGCCAATCGCCGCCTCCCGCCGCCGCCCCCCCCCCGCCCCGCGCCGCCGCCGCCACCGGACGGGGCGTCCGCGGCCCTTTATAGAGCCGCGAGGGCGCAGGGGGCTGCGCCGACACCGACACCGCCCGGCCCCGGCCCGGCCCGGTATGGCTCGGCCCGGCCCGGCCCGGCCCGCACGGAGGCCCGGGACGCGCTGCGTGGGGTATGTGGGGTGTGGCGGGGCGCGGGAGGGCGGGGACGGGGCGGCTCGCTCGGTACCGGCGGCCCCGTCTCCTCCGCTGCGCTCCGTCGGTGGGGCCGGAGCCCGCCCGGTGCGCAGAGCCGGGCGTGGAGGGTGCGGGGCGGCACCGGGAGCCGCCCGTCCCGGGAGGGGGATGAGGATGAGGATGGGGATGGACGGGCCGGGCCGCGGCGCCCCGACGTGCCCCATGGTCTCCGGGGGGGCCCGGTACCGGCCGCCCGCCGCGGGCAGTGCTCCCTGTTCCGCCGCCCGGAGCCCCTCGCCCGTTGCCGCCGCTCCCGGGGCAGCCGCCGGGAGGGACGCGATCGCTGCCGCCGCGCGTTGCTGCCACCCCCCGGGGGTGTCACCGCAGCCCCCCCCCCGTGAACCCCGGCCCGGCCCGGCCGCCGCTGGCCGGTGGCTACCGGGGAGCGGCGGGGTCCAGCGGCCCGGGAGCTCCGGAGCGCCGCAAGCAGAGCCCGCAGCCCCCCGGCTGTGCCTTCCCCGGTGTCTTCCTCATCCTCGGGGAGACTCCGACGGGACCGGGGAGGAAGAGACGGGGAGAACCGGGCGGAAACCGAAGCCAGGGAATCGCCCCCCGGTGCCGGGAGCGGAGCTGCGGCCCCGTTCCCCGCTCGCAGCCCCGGCCTGGCTCGGGAGGGGGGAGCCGAGCCTGCGGGCCCCGGGCCCGGCCGCTCCGTTACCGGGGCTGCCCCGCGGCCCCCCGGTGCCCCCACGGCCCTCAGCGCCCCGTCGGGGCACCCCGGCCGCAGCCCGGCCTTGCCCCCGCCGCGCAGCGGTACCGGGGGAGCCCCGGGCCGGCTTTGGGGCGCTCCGTGCTCGGCGCGGGGGGGTCCCCACCGGCCCTGCCCGGCGCCAGCTGCCCGCTGCTGCCCGGGGACCTCCCCCTTTTGAGAGCGGCCCCCGGGGACGTGCGGTGGCGGCGGGGCTGAATGCGGCACAGGGGATGAGCAGCTCCTGTCCATCAAGCGCCGGGGCTGCTTTCACAGCGCCTTTTTTTTTTTTTTCCTCCCCCCCGTTCCCCAGGCGGCCCCGCAAGCAGCTGGGCGGCCCCGGCCCGGGCTCCCCGCAGCCCCCGCGGGGTCCCGCTCCCTGCCCGGCCCCACCGGGGGCCCGGCGGCGGCCCCCTCCTGAGCTCCCCGGGGTGCCCGAGGCCCCCCGAGGCGCTGCGACCCCCGCGGGCCGAGGCGCGGCGAAGCCCCCGGCGCTGCTTCCAGCGGGCTCCGGGCCCAAAACCTCTCCGGGGGGGGCACGCAGCCGCCGGCGGGGACCCCTCGCTCCGGGGGCGCGTCCCGGCAGCTGCTTCGCTTCCTTCCCCTCGTTACCCCCCCCGTTATATTCGGGAATTTGTCCCGGGGCGTTTCGGAACGGAGCGCCCCCCCCCCCAGCCCTCTCCGACCAGGGAGGAAAAGGGCGAAATTAAAAGATAAATATTTTATAAAAATCAAATTTATTTTAAATCTAACGCAGAGGGAAAAGTCCCGTTCAGCCAGCTGGGATGGGCATTTTCTCGCCGCCGTTCCCGTCCCCTTGCCCAGCAGCGCTCGGTAACGGGACGGCCCGGGGGGGCTGCTCGGGGACCGCGGGGCTGTTCGGGGGGCGCCCCGCGGTGTCTGTCCCGGCCCCCCCCGGCCCCGCCTGCGATTTTCCCCCGAGCGGAGCCGCGGAGAAACTTCCCGGGGCCGGCGCGGGGAGCAGCGGAGGCAGCTTTGGGGGGGGGATCAGCGAACTGCCCGGCAGCACCCGGCCTCCTCCCCTCCCTTCTTTTTTTTTGGTTTTGTTTTATTTTGAATTTTTTCCTTCGTTTTCAAACGCACGGGCATCGAGAGCCCGGCGACGCCAGGCTGCGGCCTCCCGGTCCCCGCGGGGGCTGCGGGCACCCCCTGGCACGGCCCCGGCCGCCCCCCGCAGCAGCGGGGCCGGGCCCGGAGGCTCTGCCCGGTGCCAGGAACAGCGGCTACGGCGCTCGGCGGACACGGAGGCACCGCAGGGCGGTTTCTTTCCCCCGTGCAGCGGCCCCGTGCCAGCAGCCCGGCGCTGGGCAGGCTCCGTGGCCGTGCGCCGCGCCGGGTCTGCTGCAGGGAGCTCGGCAGAGGTGTTTCAGCCGAGGGGAGCTCCTGCCGAGGGGTGTCCCCGCCGAGGGGTGCTCCTCCCGGGGAGCTCCCCACTACCCCTTCGTGTCGGATCGATGCCGAGGGCAAACCCGGCCCGGTCGCCCCGCTCCGGGCCCTTCCCGTCGGGTTTCTGCCCCCTCCGCACGCCGCTGCCGTCGGTGCCAGCCGGGGTTCCCGCACCGCTCACGGCGAACACGGTTAATAAAGAATTACAGAGCCGTGTGCGCCTCAGCGAGAGCTGCCGGGGAGCCCCGGGAATGGGTCCCGAGCCCCGGTGGGTCCCGGCGGTGCCGTGGGGCCGGGGGGGTCCCGGCGGGACCGGCTGCCGGGGAGCGGGCGGGCGGCAGCTGAGCGGGCTGCCGGACAGAGAAAGGGCAGATAAAAGGCGAATAAAAGAGAAAAGGAAGAAAAGTAAAGAGGTGGCGGGGACGAGGAGGGGGAGACTATAAAAAAAGAGGGTGAAACAAACCCCAGGAGGACGCCCCGATCCCAGCTCATCCATCTTCATTGTCTCCGTGTGTGCAAAAGCAACTCCGGTATAAGGAAAAGCCACTATCAAAGCCATGGCTTTATTTTATATCCTATAGATCAGGAGGGAGGCAAAGCTTTATTTTCGCCCAGAGACAGATATTTTATTTCTCTCTTACGGTTTTATGTGTGAGAGATGTCAAAAAGGTAAAATAGATTGCTAATGCATAGGCAAAACGAAGCTGTTTTGGCATGCTCTGTGTCATGAGGTCTCCCAGGGAGAGCAGGCTGGGGATTTAGGGCTGATGGGAGACTCGGGGGGATTTCTGCTAAAACATCGCTCTTCATAAATTCAGCCGCGTGGTCAGCCCGGCGGGGAGAAGGCGGTGGGAAGGGAAGGAAGGGAAAGAAGAGAAGGAAAAGGAAGGAAAGGAAGGACGGGGAGGAAGGGCCGGAGCGGCGGCTCGGGGCCGTTCTCCCGGCGGAGCAGCGGCTGCCGGCGCCGGGGCCCCTCGGGGCTCTCCCGCAGCTCCGTGCGCGCCCCCGGCGCTGCCCCTCGGGGCTGGGGAGCGGGGATCCGGGGGTCGGGGGGCCGGGGGCCGCCCCGGCTGCGAGCGGTGCGTTGTCGGCGACCTTCCGCGGAGGTAAAATCCCTCGGCCCGGGCTGCAGCGCTTCTCCCACTTCGTGACCCCGGGGATTTCCTCGGCACGTTAAGTTCAGGGCTCGGAAGCCCGAGGCCATTACTCACGCAGGCGCTCCCCCCGCTCTCACCACCTATTTTATCGGCTGACTTCTGGCTGAAATTCACCTTACGGCAAGCGACGGCTGCCAGCAGCGCGCCCCCCGCTCTTTGCCCCCGGCTCGCAGCGAGCCCCGGCTGCGGGACGGCCGCGAGCTGAGCAGGAAAAAAAAAAGAAAATTAAAAAAAAAAAAAAGGAAAAAAAAAAAACAACACAGCAAAGCAAGGTGCAGTTCATTAGCGAATTAATCGTTGCGGTATCCCGGCATCGTCTCGTTTCTCCAGGCTCGGCGGGGCCGTGTCGCTCCCTGCTCCCCATCACCGACCGTCCCCGGGAGCGGGCCGGGACCCACCGGGGGCACCGCGCTCGGCCGGCCCCGGGGCTCCCCCAGGCTCCCGGGGCTCCCCCAGGCTCCCGGGCTCCCCAGGCTCCCGGCCCCGCTCCTGCCGCCGCTCGGGGCCGGGGCCGGCGTCGGGTCCCCACGGGCGACCCCCGCCCCGCGCTGCCGCGGTACCGGAGCTGGGGGGTGCCCAGCGCGGGGGTGGGGGACACCAGCAGGAGGTGGCCTCGGGCTGCCCAGCAAGGGCTGGAACGGAGCAAATCGGTAAAAGGGATCCCGGTAAAAAGGGGAAAACGCGTCTGCACCGCCGGCGGGGCGCCGCTGCCCCCTGCCTACCTGCGGCGGGTGCAGGAGCAGCCCCAGCCCTGTTCCTGTCCCTGTCCCTGTCCCTGTCCCCGTCCCTGTCCCCGTCCCTGTCGCCCAGCTCCCCCGGCTGCCCGTGGGAAGGAGCCCGGCCCCGGGCAGTACCGGGATCTGCCTGCTCAGTCCCGGCCTCTGATTACTCTTCTCCTATATATGGGTTCCGTAATTTGATGCCGCGTTCCTATACAACACCCTATGTCACACCGCCTTTGGAGAGGCTTCTTTTCCAGGCTTATGGGATGGGGAGGCTCTGACCAGGGAGCCCCCTCCTGCCCCACTGCTTGCAGCCCCCGGCTGCCCGGCTCCAGGCATCACAGGGGCAGGGGTTGCGGGGGGGCGATCAGAGAGGTCACCAGCCCGCTCTGGACAGAGCT